AAGGTGACCATACACCCCGGTGCAACACCATGTCAATCCATTTGATGACAATTGGATAGTGATAGCCTGCGGATGTGAGTCTACCACTTGACCACGAATATTTGAATTATAAAAACATTTTATACATTAATTTAAATTTATATAACAAAATATTATATAATTTTTAAAATTTTTAAAAATTTATAAACTTAATTTATATATTAAAATTTTTTAATTTAACAATTAAGTCGTTAAAAATTAATATATATTATGAGTTATTAAGTAAAATAATTTTATGATAAATTATTTTTAGAATAATTTAATCGTTCTCACTTTATATATATATATATTAAAAAGGAGAATTAAAAATGGTAAGAAAAAAAATAAATATAATCACTGGTGTGATGAAAAAATAATGGAAAGGTGAAAAGGGACATAAGATAAATGTAAAATATTTAAGGTATAAAAAGAATTAAGTTGAATTTCTTATTGCGCACACACAACTCAACATTTGATGTGTTTAATCTTTTTATTTTTTTTAAAAATGTATATATGTAGGTTTAATTTCTTAGGTCGAGGTACTTTTAAAATATTTATTTTCAAAAAAAGGGTGACGTCACGTTGCCTATGTTTGTTATAATATTATTTATCTTTCAAACATAAGAACACACACATATTGTAGTATATGCATATGCATTTGATTTTGTTCCCAGATTAAAAAACCATATACTACTATTTTATAAGGATAGTGTTCTCAGCCTCACTCAGTGTACTTAATTCCTTACACTGACCATTTTATGCTTGAAGGATCCGCTTTTCTCGCTTCTCCTCTTGCAGATCCCACAAAGTTTTTTCCCTACCTTTTCTCACACAACCTCTCTCTCTCTCTCTCTCTCTGATTGTGTCATTTTCACTCTGATTTCATCACATTTTTGACAACCCTTTTCCATATAATCCATCTTTCTTGTTTGTGAAGTTGAGAAAAGGAAAAATCTTACCAATTATGGGTAGGGAATGGCATTTTGCTGGAAGATTTTCTAAGAGAAGTGGTGTAGGATCAGCTGAAGAATCTGAAACACAAGCCCCTTCTGGTTGCATGTGTGCTGTTTTTCAGTTCTTTGATTTTCATCCATTTCACTTTCATAACATAAACCACCAACACCAACAAAGTTCTTTCAAACCACCCTCATGCACCCCTGAAGACCATACCACAGTCTCTAAAGGTATTGTCATTATCAGTATATATCCCGAAGAATTTTTTCAGAACTTCTCTCCAGAAAATAAAGATTTTTTTCCGTAGAGAAACTTTAGAAAGTTCTTATAAAAATTTCTATATAGAGACTCTTAGTAATAGCAGTTATTAATTAGTCATCTTTCAAATCACTAACATAAAAAAAGTTTTTTTTTCTTCTCTTTCTCATGTGGTTTTGTGTAATTCAGGTGCTGAAGCACCTAGGAACAGCTTGGAATCAGAGGATGGTGATGGAACAATTTCATCTCTCTCATCAAAAGAAGATTTTAAAATTCCTGTGAGTTTACATTATCCAGCTTTTGACCAGTTTTTTAATGAGTTTCACTTTACACACTCCTAGTTGGTTTGTTTTGTAAAGTGAGTAATGATGGCATAGCACTATGGAGATTGATTATATTGACCACTTATTTTGAAAACCCAGAAGAATATTATTCAAATCAAGACAAGTGGAGGCACAAGAACAAGTGGTGGAAATTTGAATGACTTGTCCTCAGAAATCAGCAGCTCTCCAGGGACAAAGACACCAACTTTGGTAGCTAGATTGATGGGTTTGGATCTTCTCCCAGGTGCACAATCACCCTCTTTTTCTTCATCTTCTTCTTCTTCATGTGTTGCCACTCCAGACACACAAGGCAATGTGCCACATCTGCAACACCTGAGACACAAGCAACATGTCCAAACAAAGCACAGAAACAGCATAGACAGTAGTGACATTGCAGCCACAAGATCTTTGCCTGATACACCAAGAATCTCCTTAGCAAGAAGATCAGATGTTGACCATCACCACAGGCTATCACTCCAAATCATCAACAAGGAAAACATGAACCTTGGTGAGGATTTTGAGCTCCCTAGGCTCTCACTTTCCAAAAGGAAGTGCGATGAGAATCACAATGGGAGGAGTCCAAGCCACTATGCTAGGCAAATTGTCAAACAGGTTAAGGAGAGTGTGAGTAGAAAAGTTGGTCAAGACATCACCAACACTAGTCTCAAAACAAGAGAAGAATTTGTAGGCCAAATAAGAAGCAAGAAATCCCACAAAACATCATCACTTAAATCAATTGATGAAACAGAAACCAGCCACTCAAACTCATCTTCCTATTCCCCAAGGCTTAGATTCATTGAAAAGCACAAACCAAGCACAACAACAACAACTCCATCACCACTCACTCCAAAAGATCAAAACATACTCAAACTACCACCACCTACTCCTCCTCAGGTTAACACTCAACCTCAGCTTCCAAGAGTCTTAACAAAACCAAAGCCAGAGCAGAAAGAGTTTCAGAGCAATAAATCTGTCCCAAAATGCAAAAGGGTAACCAATGAAAAGTTCAACTCAAGGCTCAAAAGGCCTCCACAGACATCAGACATAATCAGAAACAAGCAAGAAGAACCATTCATCATTCGTCCCACATCGCCTAGTAGTAGAGCCAGTGACATCAAAAGCACCAAAACCAAGAAAACTCACCCATTGTCAAGCAATCTCAACAATGTACCAAATGTTCTACCTGTCAAGACAGACCCTTCTCCTCCAGCAACCAAAATTCCTCCCAAACAGGTACCCCATTATTCAATTTTTAAATATTTCAATTTTTTTTTTTCTTTTTCATTTAGTAGTAATTTCTTTTACCACTCTCCACAGGGAAGTACATTTATTTAGCTTTTTATCATCAAAAAAAAAATTTATCAAGAAAATTCATTTTTAAGGTTTTTAAATAAGGGTCTTTAAGTTTTTGAAGAAAAAAAAACATTTGAATCTCAAAAAATCCAAATTTCTAATTATTTATTAAAGTTATTTTGAATATTTTCTGAAAAAAAATTATGATTATTTTAAAATATTTCGAGTACTTGAAAAATTTGTAATTACTATTTAAAGTAAAAAAAAACAGTGTAATTGAAACAAAAAAAATTCAATTTTACATAAAATATTTGAACTAATTTAAAAAAAAAATAAACAAACAAAACCTAGTAAGATTGATTTAGCAGGGAGAGAGCAGGGAGAGAATTTAAATAATTTGTATAAGATCCGAGGCTTCTTGTTGTAAAAAAAATATAAATTTAATTTTTATGCATGTAAGTTAAAAGATTTTAATGTCTCAACTAATTAATAATCTTTTCATATATAATCATAATCATATTTATAATTAGATGATGTATTAATAAAATGGGAGTATAAAAACCCTTTTACCTAGTCGTGTAAAAAAATTACTGTAAATTAATTAGAAAATACATTATGAGAATGATTTATTAAAATAGTTATTAAATAAATCAATAAAATTTTCTCACATAATTACTTAAAATTACATAACAACTTAAAATAACAACATAAAAAGATTTATATCATGTGTGAATTTAAATAAATCTTTTATAACTAAGCCTCTTAATTTAATAGTTATAAAATTTGTCAATATAAAAGTTGACATTAGAATCAACCTTGTCAATATTAATATAATGTTTATCAAGTAAAAATCATTCAACAAATAAAGATTTGTCTTTGATTGTGAATTTTGTATGGTGAGTGTACCAAAAAGAAAATATTTTTATTATCTTTCTAAACATATCTATTTTTTTTTTAAATATAAGCTTGCACTGCATCATATCATTTTCTTTTCTTTGAATTAGCAAAATGATTAAAAATTCACTTCATCCGAAACAGTCACAACAGGTGTTTGATACCGAACGTGAAGAGTCGAAAAGCAGCTGGTCATCACAGTTATCTAGTTGTTCGCGCCACCATAAGTACAAACAAGAACAAACAATAACAACAACACTCGCCACCCGAGACAACAACCTTAACGGTGTCTCTGCCTCCTCCACCGCCGTTGAACAAGAACTCCACTACATCACTTCAATCCTCGCCGTAAACCCCCACCCACCACTCGACCCATCGATCTTCCACCACCTCGAACACAAAGATCGCAACTTTGCCCCGAACCACCATCTGGGTCACCGTTGGAACCGGCGGTTACTGTTCGATGTGGTGGACGAGGTTTTGGGGGAGATCGTGGGGCCCAGAGAGGGAGAGAGAAGAAAGAGGCTTTGGTTTTGGAGGAAGGGTAAGGGTGGTGTTGAAGGGTTGGTGGAGAGGGTGTGGAAGAGAGTTGGGGAGTTCCCACGTGCCAAGTGTGAGGTGTTGGAGGACATTGATGGGTTGATTGAAGGGGAGAGAGAGATGGATATTGGTGAGGGAATGGAGGAAGAAGGGGAAGGGGTGGTGGCAGAGATTGAAGGGAACATATGGGACACGTTGCTGCATGAAACAGTTATGGTTGTGAATTGCTGGCCCAGTGTGGGAAATATGGAAATTCAGAACAAATTATTGTTTAGTGGAGAACTAAAGTGTGTTTATGACTTGGCTTCATTTCAATATCATATATAGATGATAAGATAAGGTTTTTGATAAGTGAGATTTATATGAAATTGTGTGTTTTCTTCTATGTTATTTTCTCTATTAGAATTAAAGTTTTACGTTCATCATTCACGTTAATATTAAATACAATCATGGTAAAAAAATTATTAATACAAGTGACTCAATATTTTTTTTTAATCAAAGTCTATTGTTTCACCTATAAAATGGACTAATTTAACGGGAAGAAGTTGTACCACTTGATTGTAAAAAAATAAAATATTAGATAGAAATTTTTATGCAAATTATTGAAATTGCACTTTAATTTTAATTAAATTTTGTACCAAAATACTTGTAAACCTTTTTAATTAATTAATGAAAATAAATTAAAATTTCAATTATGTATCTTATAAAATAATACATAAACATTCAATAATTTTAAAAGTAGAATAATATATGAATTGTTAGAATCAATCTAATAATGAGAGTTGAAATAGTATATAGATATCCTAAATTTAAAATTCTAATATCATTATTATAATTTTAATGAATAAAAAAATATAATAATAAATCAATTCTCATTATGTTAAAATAATATTTTATTAATAAAAATATGTTACATAAATATGAATTAGTTGATGTTAAGTTAACTATATTCATTATAAAAAAATGTAGAATAATATTATGTGTTGATAAGTGGGGTTTGAAGTTTGAACTAGGAATGGGGTCGTTTAGCAAGGGGTGTGTCACGTGAGATTGTCGTGGGGGTCCACGTGCATGGGGTTTGAAGTTTGAACGAAGGCCTTGGTCTCAGATTGTAGGGTGGGTCACATGAGGAATTTGACCCCTCGACTCGACAAGACTGCTCTATTCATTGGTCATTAAAAGACAAGATTTGACAGAGGAATCTACACCCAACTTTTACCCCTACCCCTTCTCTCTCTCTCTCTCTATTCAATTCAAGTGACCACGTATATTACTATATTAATTTTTTTTGAATTGCTAATTGTTTTATTGTTTGTTAAGGTTTATCACTATGAGTTAGAGTTAGGAACACCGGATAGTTGCACAAACACGAAACTAAATTTAGGATGTTGAGTTGAGAGAATATTTATTAGAGAAATGTTCTTAGGCTTGTATAAGATATTTCTACTTAAGTATTGTTTTATCTTTAAATATGTTAAGTTTCATGAAATTTACAGGTTTGATGTATTGAATTTCTTTTTCTAGTTATTATATATATATATATATAGGCGTTTCCTTGGAGTCAAAAGCTACTAGAAGTAACTTTATTCAACCTTGAGCCTTGTTAATAAAAAAAAATTCGCTGGGAATAGGGAGGCCCAGTAGCTAATTAAATTCTTAATAGAAATTAATTGTGGAGAATAGATAAATACTAAAAAAAAAAAGAGGTTAAATAATGTGTATAAAAAAATTTGTACATTTTTCGTAGTAAAATAATAACACTAGTCAGATAAAGTGCGAAGAGTAGTCAAATGAAACATTAAATATTTTTATATTGATTTATCTCAATTACCAAGATTACATCCAATTAATTCTCATTTCAATTAAATTGAGTTTTATTATCTTTAAATAAAGATACAAGTATTCACTAGTGGAAAATGAGTGTTTTACGTCACCTTTTTATCATCGGACATACCAAAAACCGACATAAATGCGATGATATTTTTGTAATTTTTGTGAACTCTTTTACGTCGGACTTGGTAGGGTCCGACATAAAAAAAGAAGCGAAAGTGAATCCAAGAAGAGTGGGAGGCGCACACACGCACACACTCACTCGGAATCTCCAATCTCTAACCCCCAACCACCCGCTCGGATCTCACCTTTCTAGATTTTTCTCTGTATAAACCCTCTCCTTCTCCTTTGTTGCTGAATCGCTTTTTTTGACTTCTGCAGAGTGGGGTGAACTCTTCGTACACCGTGGTCGACCATACTTACGACGTTGTCGTCGTGGGTGCTGGTGGCGCCGGATTGAGGGTTGTTATTGGGCTTTCTGAACATGGCTTCAATACTGCTTGTATCACTAAGCTCTTCCCTACTCGTTCGCACACTGTTGCAGCTCAGGTATGAATCAGGGTTTTGCTAACACCTTTTTGCCTCGCATTGCTATTGTGGCTATTTGTTCCATTCGGTCTTTTGGTTGTTCTATTTGTTTGAGTTCTTGGCCTTTTCTTTTAAGAGAAATTTAATTTCGGCATCCTTTTATTGTTGTGATATAGGTGGTCAAGCTTATCGTTGTGCATGTGCATGTGCTATTGATCGAACTGGGCATGCTTTATTGCACACTCTATGGCCAAGCTATGAGACACAATACCCAGTTTTTTGTGGAATATTTTGCATCTGGAACAGCCCATTCTGCAATCAGAACGGTCTGTTCTGCTTGCAGTCTTTGTGTGTAAATTGTCCATCTGGAACGAGCCATTCTGGTTTAGAACGGGCTTCCAGATGGACAATTAGCACACAACGAATGCAAGCAGAATGGGCCGATCTGGTTGCAGAACGAGCCATTCCAGATGTGTGCCATCACAAATTTACATCGATTCTTGGGAATGTCCGACGTAAATTTACGTCTCTCGCTTTGACGTTGGAGTTTTTTATGACGTAAAAACCCTAAAATAACAAACATAGAATACCTATTCTGTACTAGTGATTCTTTCAATAAGTCACTTTTAACTCAACCTTAAGTATTTTTTGGATTGCCTCCGCAAACAACTACTCAAATATTCTTTTAACAACAAACCTTTCTAGGTTTAACAATCAAGTATTTTTTTACAGTGAAATCTCTACAGGCTCAAAACAAGTATTCTTTTATAGTTAAGTCTCTTTAGGCTCAAAATAAATATTCTTTTAATCAAACTTCTTTAGACTCAAAGCAATTATTCTTTTATAGATAAACCTTTTCAAACTCAATCTTATAACAATGGTTATGAAGGTTACAAATATTGTATTCGTCTCACTTAGACGTTATACAACCAATGCAGAGCAATAAACTTTATACAAGAAAGAATGAAGTATATATACATGTATAATTTACAAATTGTGTCTCTTTTGAATATGTCTCTCAATTTCTTCTTCCTAAGCTTCAAATCTTCTTATATAATAGTTTTAGAAAAGATAATTGTTGTAACACTTTAAGTTCAACTTACAAGTTTGTTTCGTCTGTCTTGATTGTCTTTTCTTGTGATGACAAGTAACTATTTGACTCATTTAATGTGAGTATTAAATGCATTTCACCAAATGATATCTTATTTGATCAAAGATGCTACTTATCAACTTTCTATACCAAACAAAACTTGCAAAAGCAATGTTAATATATGTAGAGCAGTTGTAATAGTGACTTATCCGCTTTTCTTTGTCATTTTAGGGATCTTGGTTCTAACAGAAAGTATGGTTCTTCTTTTTAACATATTTGTGAGTTCTAAGATGAATTTTTGGTTTGATTTGTTAAGGAATGAATCATTTAATACAAATTTTGTCATTAGTTTCAATAAATAATAAGCATTTAATGTATATGGGGCAAAATGTATATTTCGTCTAATTTACATTGTCTCATAAATTATCTGCATCTTATACATCTGATAAACATTTTTAAAAATATTTTTAAAGATATTTTTTAAGACATTTTCTCTTATAATTAAAATATTTTGTTTGTTAACATTAAAATTTAGCTTGAGAGATACAAGATCGTCTTCTGACTTAACTTTAATCAATAACAAAATTAATAAATATTTTACACCATTAGCATAACTAAAAAAAATAGTTATCGATTTTTTTTTATGTATGAACTATATGAAATCTCAATAGCGTTTGATGAAATAATGATTTTCTTTCTTTATTCCATATTTTTTAAAATGTTTTTGTGAAAAAAAAAAGTTGTTCTATTTTGTACCTTTATATGTTTATTTAAAAAACTTGTGATTTAAAAATAAAATAGGAATTTAAAAAAAAATAAAAAAATAGGGATAATAAAAGTTAAATAATTTAAATTTTTTTATCTATCAAAATTAAAAATTTACAATGTAGACATAAGAACGCAAACATTCATGTGTATTCTACTCCAATTCTAAGTGTATATCACTAAGGTAATGCTTCAATTCTAATTGGAGAACAATACTAATCGCATATAAGAAACTGTAACAAAATTTTGTTCTAAATTTTTTATTCTTCAACAAAAGTTTAAGAGGTTAAAGTCCTTAAACGTTTTTAAAATGTGATTTTTTGTTCCTAAACTAAAGTTTGAAACCCTATTATTTTTATCTATTTAATGATGTTTTAGTAACTAAAAGCTGGAGTTTAAAAAGTTTGGGGATCTTGACCAGTAAAACTTTTGTTCAATGACTAAAAATCAAATTTTAAAAATTTAAAGACTAAACATAATTAGCTCAAATATTATTTTTCTTCCACTAAGAAAAAGTTTTGGGTTCACCACTTCTGACTCTAGTGGTTCTAAGTGATTTGCATATCTAGTGATCAAGAAAAAGTTAATTATATTATTTTAATTTTATTCTCTCTTTTATTTGAGTCTAGGAAGGAGTATTAATTTGTAATAATCTCAAAATTATCCCGATTTTCACATTTAAAAAGTCTTAAAATAACTAAATATTTTTAATATAATATTAAATATTTTATTTCTTAATTTATCCTTTCATAAGTTCTAAAATCACTGTAATTAAAAATAAAGTATTTATTAAAAGAAGGAAATTATTTTATATATATACATACTTTATTTAGTTATTTTAGGACTGATGGAGTAAAACTAAAGAGCATGTGTATGGTTTTTATTTGGTCTACGTAAAAATCGAAGGGAAATGAAAGCCATATACATATTTCAAAGTGATGAAGACATCTAAAATGACTAAAAAGTCAAAATCAAAAAAGTTTTTGGATGGCACAAAATTTTTTCAACAGTGTAGTGTTCGATGTTATCTAATTTATCGAACCTCGTTGATATCAAGTCTTCTGTATACACACGAGAACACACAGGACATATTATGCTTACATCACTTTTTCAAAA